GAACCAGTTCTTCAACTTCTCCTATAGAATATATACATGCAATGCCGATATGTCACACAGTATTTAGGTATGGGCAAAGCCCCTACTGGTCGCCACTGAAGATATTTTTTGAACCAGTTCTTCAACTTCTCCTATAGAATATATACATGCAATGCCGATATGACACACAGTACACAGGTATGGGCAAAGTTCGAAACGCTCAGTAGAATTTCAAATAGCTTCTCCTCTGAACCAATCAGATTAAGAGAAAACACCATTTAATCGAAAACCTCGAATAGGTGAAACCATTTCACGGTCAAGTCTTACCTGATTCAGTCAACATTCCATCGTGCGTCACGCTCTTCTCGTTAAGCACAAGAACCATTGCTCTGGACAGCATATCTCTGACTGTTTCTCCTTCGCTTGTCATGAGCTTTACTTGATTGGTGAGGCGAACTTCTTCGTGTGACGTCATATCCTGTCGCCATGACAACTCCATCGCGTGACAGAGTTCAACTAGTTCCTCCTAAACAAGTGCACAAAACAGAAAATCTTTCAGTCCACACTGCGCATAGAACGTGGGCGTGGAAACAAAATTATCGTAAAATGAATGGCTGACTCACTCACCCATTTTTGATAGACAGGCACCGACTTGAAAGGAAGTGGGTGTCCAAATTCTCTAGCTATTTTCAGGTGGGTTTTGGCAAGCTGTGTGTCTGTCCCAAGATACTGACTCAGCTGTTTGACAACTGTCATCAAATCACGTGGACACTCGCTGAAAAATATAAACACGAACAGCATCACTTTTAAGCTTTCGGCCATTGGCATAAGAAAGTATTTATACTACGCAAAATATTTCCACGATGGCAGCCATGTTGGAGGAAAGATATATAGAACAAGTGTCATACAACATGGCTGCCGTTAGCAAAACCTAAAAAACTGAACTCGTTAATTTGATAAACTAAGAAGGAATGTCGTAGTTACTAACCTGACATTCTTTCCAACAATCTGTGGGAAGACTCGAAGGGTTTTCTCTACGAACCACTGCCAGTGAATAGAGAGAAGGGCGAGGGAAAATGACTTGAACGATAACGATGTGCAGATGTTGAACAAACGACTGCTCCACTGGAGGGATTCGACGGCCTGAAACAGCGTCAAGTCCATTAGTATTACTATTAGTATAAGCCTTTTCATAGTTTAAGAATCGATTCCACTGCGCATGCGATTGTATCCCGAATTTCTCACCTTCTTTTGTTTAATTAAGAACAAAAGAAGGTTTAGACAAAAGAAGGTGAGAAATTCGGGATAAAATCGCATGCGCAGTGGAATCGATTCTTAAACTATGAAAAGGCTTATTGATATTACAGGTTATAAGGTCAAGAAAGAAAGAGGGAAGGGAAAAACTTCGTAAGTAAGATTAGTAGACCTCAGTAGACCGTAGACCTACAAAACTTTGCACTAATTTGTACAATTTTGTTAGTTAACTTTTTCACGAATATATGGGATGCACTCTACTAAAAAAATTTAAACAAAACATTCCATTTTTAACGAATGAGTTAATGACAAGTCGGAGAGTTTTCGGAGGTTTCTCGACATAAGATCGGAAAACTATCGGAACCTTCATTACCTCGATATATTCTTGATCATCCAAAGAACAATCACTCGTGATTAAACTGTTAACAAAGTCATTAAAACACTTAAATAAAGGCACCAAATGCGCAACTGATGGATGGGGTAGCATCTCCATGGAAACAAGCCCTGCAAATAAAATAAAACCGTCATGTGATCAGCTGAACAATGATTGGTCAGATGTAATGGCCTATCCAAACCTGCATGGAGATCACGTGACAGCTTGACCAAATTTTTGCTTGTCGAAGTATTCTCTTGTGCGCTTTCCAAAATCACTTGCTTTATCCTCGTTGCAAGAAGATGGAGTCTGAAAAGCAAAGACGATCATTGTGTCAGGGCAAACGACAAGGTCAACGGACAGAGATGAAGACAATTGTTTAAGCCAATCACGGCACGTCGGGCTTCAAGGTACTGACACAAGAAATTGTCATGGTCACAAATGCTTTAAACTTAGTAAACCTAGGTATTATAGCAAAAGACCGCATAATAGAGTAGATTTGGTATTGGAAGGCTCTGTATGGTCTACAGCCTGAATACTGTACGCCATGATATAGCATTGGGATGAAAAAACAAGATTGCTGCTTCGCACCTGTTAGCAAGACTTGAGTTCTGTTGGAGAGTGTCGGATGAATCGAGATGATGACACAACTGACCAGACAGTCGAAGATCGAATGGTTGATGAGGCAGAAGATCTCTCTCTGGAAATAATAAATAATGAATAATAAATAACAAATAATGATTTTCATTGATTGGAGTTACCATGATTTGGCTAGATTACCAGGAAATAGACAAAAAAACTCACCAATATCTTCCACAGCCAGTAACTGATGATTCTCTTCAACTCCCTTCATAAGAGAGCTACCAAAGAGTCCCTGTATGACACTCGTCACCATGCCAACCAACTGAGGCATTTCGCCACCTTTACCAGGATCTGCTTTCAGCTGCTCGAGAACTGATACCAAGTACTTAAGTCTAAGCTGCCAATCATATAAAGATGATCGTTCAATGACAACGTCTACTGCATGCTTGACGTGCCGAATGGATGAATGCTGTTGCCATAGTAACCTCACTAAAGGCATACAGTGCCACCTTATCGTTGCTAGGGTAGAGTCCATGATAAAGTCTCGCACGGATGGAGCTGAGCTCATCTGGAGTGGACTGGTTTCTTTTTCTTGGGATACAGGATATTTATTCATGTAAGTTGTGATCAAGTCTTCAGCAATCTGTAAAAAAAGTTATTATACCTTAATCAAGTTTGAGAGCTAGTTTTCTTTTATTGGTCATTCTGAGGTGAGGGAAAAACTGGAGCTGGCATTGCGGGACTGTTTGAGAGGAAGAAGTAGATTCCATCTTGGAAATTTGCCCCCCCCCCTCCCCCAATGCACTGCTATATCAACTAGAACTAGTTTTTTTCTCAACCTCGGAATGGCTAATGGTATACCTGCTTTTCGCTCTCATTCACGTGACTTCTGACGTAGACCTGGTTGAGTGACGTCACGACAGCATTACCCAGGTCTTCGCCTCTGTGTAGTAGGTCGGTAATCATGGTAGCAGCGTGGAGGAGGTCCAGTACAGAACCTGTCAACACAAAATGTCGAATTATCATGCACGGCACGGTCACGGCACAGCGAGAGGGCGCAACATCAGTGCTCGTCCAATCAGAATGCTTTAACTTGAAAAAGTTATTGAGGAAATAAAGTAACGAAGAGCACGTAAATTAAACTCACCACCAAGTTTAGCTTTGTATTCCTGTTGAAACGCAAGAAGCATGTGACACGTGACTGTATCATAGAGTCCAGTACCGCTCAACATGATTTGGAGATCATAGGAGTCGTACCCGGTCTCTTCATCCTGTAGACAACACAATAAATAGACCTCCAGCTTTGAGTTGTATTCACATTCATGTGTCTTCTTATACATAACCGTTAAACAAAGAAATGATACTCAAGAGAATGTCATGACAATTCAAATGTTTATTTGTGTGAATCAGTACCTCGCCAGACATGTAGATCTCCACTCCTCTATTGCGCATGGCACGTGAGATCTCTCCAAACCGTGGATCCATCGTGAGTATGAGCCTGCAAACATAACTCATTATTATTAAGCATAAATAACTAGTAATTGATAATTACCTATCAAAATATCGGACAAATCTCTGGATAAAGTCGAAAAGAGTTGGAAATTTACAGTAATAAGCAGGAATAGGGTATATCAAGAACGCTGTTAATGAGTCGGAATACTCCTTTTCCAATTGAGATTACGATCAATACTTTGTCGAAAAAGCATTTTTGAACTCTCCAACATTATTGATAATTTGTCGGAGCAAAGTGACTGGAGTTTCTGGCGGAAATACTATCGAGAACCCTTCGGGTAAGTCTCGTTCAAAACACGGTTTATGGTCGGGATATTTTCGGTTACTTCTCGGAATGTTGGTTTATTTACCTAAATTCAGGATGAGGCTTAACAGCAGGGACTTCTCCATCTATAACACCTCGTTCATTGATACTTAACACACCACCAGGCTCTAACAATGCGTTGAGCCTATCGAGAACTGACGGACTGGGGAAAAAACAAGAAAATCAATCAAAAATACTTTTTTTTTTTGCTATATTTTTCCTATTATAGTTTTCATATGGCTTGTCCACACTAAAACGATCTAAAACGCAGATACGATGAAGATTGATACAATATCTTCATCTGCGCATGCGCAAAACAGCTGGGCCCGAATGACGTCAGCGTTCTCAAAAGCCTCCGTTTTCGCTGTCCACACTTATACAATACGCCATCGTTTTCAAATGTCTCCACTCTGGAGAACCTTTTCAAATGCATGCGTTTTCAATCGTTTTCGTGTACGGGACGCAAGGACAAAACGTATCAAAGAGTATGCATTTTCAAAGGAAAATGCATTAGTACTGACGGAGTTGTAATTGGGCTCCCTGTGGCCACATAAAAAGTGAATACAGTACTGACCTGCAGAAGTTCACATTATCGATGAGCAGCCAGTGACCAGATTTTAATGCATCAACCAGTTGTCCATCGACCCATTCAAACTGACCTCCACAATGAGTGCTGCCGTTATTAGACTGCAGCCTCGTCTTAAGATTGAGGGCGCGTAGTTTTACTGAATGAATATAAAAAATAACATTTTAATTATTAGATCTGCTGGATTTTGTTTCTTGGGTGGTGAGTTGGTGGGTGGTTGGTGGGTGG